TTGCATTGCATGGTTTGTTGTGGGTGGGGAAAACCTGGTGCCAGTCTGTCTGGTGGGGGTGGGGTGAAGTTGTATATACTGAGCTGTGTTTAATAAAGATTGTCAGTTTCACCCTACACGAAGTTCTGACTTGTGTTTTTAGCTATAATACCTGCCTTGGGAGAATGCTGGAAGACTTGCCGGAAATGAGGACCATTGGGTGTGACACATAGCTCCGCACGAGGAAGCCCAGGCGGAACGGTTCCGCCACAATAGTAAGTAAGCATTGTCACCTCAGTACAGTTAATGTGTTACTGGCAGAATCATCAAGTGAGTTAAACAAAAAACCCAGAAAATAGAGAATCAAGATCTTCTTTACCAGACCACATCTAAGGAATGGTGAACTGCTATATATTAAATTGTTGTTCTTGGGTTTAGGTATACTCTAAGCTTACCCTTAACTAATCAATTTTCTATATGGCCTTTTTTTTTTAAACTTTTTGTGTAAAGACTGAGACAGAAAAGGACAAAAAAAAGGAGGAATGTATTGAAAAAATACTTTTACCTATCATCTATTTACGTGGCATCTTCCATCTTCCTGCTTTTGAATTTGATCAGAATACCAGACTGGAATGAGATGCAGCTGTTCTGATAGCAGTTATGCTCATAATGCATTCAGTAGTGTATTTAGCTCTTGTCCTGCCCTGGGCAGCACTAAAATTGGGTGCCCAGTGCTGACCACCTGCCACTTTGCCTTGGGGCAAGGTAAGTGGATATAATCAATGGAGTGATATGGCAGAGGAGAACCTTGATTACCTGGCACAAAATGCAGTTTTTCTTGGGTATGTTGGCTCCGAGAACCCAGGCAGCTATAGTCTAGAAGTGCAGCACAGTCTTCACCACATCCACGACTATACAGCTGTGTTCTGCGTGTAGTTCTCCTCTACAAGTGTACAGTCTCTGAACAACTCCACTACTGCATCAGCCTGTCTTTTGAATGATATTTACAAAAACTGTACACTAAAAATTCCTTGGATATCTTGATGCCCAGCGGGTGGAATATTGTCTTGTTTCCAGCACTGTTGGCACTAAACTGTCTGGATCAAATATAGGCAATACTTGAAGATCTGCAAAATCTAGAGACCTTCATCATAGAGAGCTGAAACGTCAGAAAGAAGGCAGGCAAAAGTCACAAGGACTTGGCAGAAGGGAGTTGGCAAAATCATCTTTATCACAACTTCCTGTTGTCTTAAAACTGTAAAGAAGTGAAAACATTCAAAAATATTATTTGCAATTTTTTAGATAACTTTTTAAAAAAAATACTGCCTCTGAAATGGAAAATAGGCAGGTTTTTGTGATATCCCAGAAAAGTATTATTGTTATTATTTGTTTTTTTTATACTTATTCTTTAACTTGCACATTTTTCATAATGTCATTGTGATAGCATATGTATTCCCACTTGAACCAGAGAAAAGCAAAACAAAACATAGCGGTAAATCAAGTCACAGTATTTACTGAGAAGAAATTGCATACTTTGAGACAGCCTCATTGCTAAGCACTGAAGTTGTTTTCCAGTGGAAACCCTATTTAATGAACTGGCTTTAGCCACCTAATTTGTTTAAACATTCTGTAGATTGCTTGTTCTTTCACAAAGAATTCTTTCCATACAGAGAACGATCCATCAGTATTTAAATTTGTATGCACAGAAGCCTAAAATTAATTTAAGGAATTGGTTTCCCCACTGTGCACTACAAAAGAAACCACAGACAGCATTTAATTAATTAATTGAATATTAGATCAAATTTCAATCAACTCCATATTTAAAGCAGAACTACACTGTATCTGAGCACCACAAACCAAAAGCACTATTTCATTTATTTTTAATATTGAAAGCAAACTCCCTTATTTATCCATACTCCCATGCTTTATGTTGCTGAGAAATCACTTAGAAAATCCCCCCTATTATATCTGGCCGTAGACATCTTGGTTAAGGGCCTTATCTGCCCTTAGCACAGGCATGCAGACAGGAGGGGTGTGCTTAGCTAAGATCCTCCCCTCCCGAAGACTGCTGGGATGTATGACGTCATTTGCATAGGCATGGAAGCTAGGAAGTAACTAAAGAAATTTAAAAAAAAACTGTTTAAAACAAGTAAATATGATATACTTTCCTATCTATTTGCTAATGCTAGCAGCAATAGGATTCAAAATAGTCCATGTTGATTGAGAGAGTGAAGTTCTACTTTACATACATCTTTTAATTTGCCAATGTTTAGAGAAATGGTTGCCAAATGTGAAATATTCAGCTTATAAACAACTCACCGATACATAACAGTAATCAAAAATGGGGCTGTAGTCTGCCCATGAGACCTAGTTATTGCCCCAATGGGTAAAACAAAACAGAGGTGCGCCCTCTGTTTTGTTTTTCTCTATTAGTACTTTTGGAATCCCTGGTTCTTTGAGGGCAGCAAGGCGTGCATATTCCAAGACATTCGTGGTGTGATCCCTATGACATAGAATCCATCCCTAAGCGCAGGAGTATTTGGGTTTTCCACTTTCACATCATTGCCCCAATGGGTGCCGCCACCTTGCTTCTCACATACCACATAGCAGACAGAATTTAAAGCCAGCCAATCACAGCCAACATATTAAAGACATCCTTGCCCTTCCTATGACAGCCACACTCTCTGCATACATCAGTAGGTGGGGCAGTGGTTAGGAATGGATATGGTGGACTGGAGGGCTTAGTTGTTGGCTTCTCACAAAAACTTACATTTTGCATATCAGTAACAGTGCTGTTTATGTTGCATGTTTGAGAAAGAAGGGATGTGTTTAAAACAGCTCACGGAGCAGATTATGATGGGGCCACTATGTTCCCATGTCCAGGGAATAGCAAGGATTACGTTAACTTCTAAACTACCACAAGCTGAACATCCACGACCTGATCTACCTCTTGGTTCTCTGCTCATGTTTACTATGTTGGTCTAGAAGGTGTAAATACATTTTATCTTCAATGTTTTTCTTTAGTTAGCTTTTTGTTAGGGTTAAGAGTAAGGATTGGCTACCCATGGCTGAAAGAGCTTTCAGGAGAAAAAAAAAAGATTTCTTTGTCTAAGGGTTTGACATAGCCATTTACAGCATTTTCAATAAATTCTGTTTATTTCAACTGTAGTGCTGCAATGTGACTGCTTTTAACTCAACGAATGAAAAACGTAATACTGTAAAATGTTACATGTTAATGTTTGCATTCCTTGTGTCATTTGCACAAAAGATCTTTCGTATATGACTGTTGCAATTTGAATCTGCAGGGCAGAATTTTTTCATGAAACAATTTCCATCCTTTATGCAGGTCTACCTTTTCTTCTTAAGATGCATGTTCTTTTTTTTAAACAATGATTTTAGTAGAGAATTTTGTTATTGTTTATGATAATTTATTAAAAGAAATTTCATAAGCTTGACATGCATGTTCATGCATACCCTTAGTTTTACTTTTCCTTAAAGTTAAATTATAATAAGGTTATGGTAAGGCTAAGACTAGGTTTAGGGTAGCAATAGCAATAGGATTAGGGTAGGGTAAGGTCTCATTTCAATTATTTCTCTGAGGAATAAAGAGGTAATAATTTGTAGTCTAACCCAGGGGTTTTCAAACTTTTCAGTATGAGTGCCACATTGTATAGGTCACAAATAATCACATTTAAATGAATAAATAGGTTTTACTTGGGAGTTTTTTAATTAGCAAAAGAGAAAAAAGGGTAAAACAAAGCAAAGAAACTCCAAATAATTATGATTCCCTCAGAGTCCCCACTAATATTTCCCCTTACATCAGGATCCCTATTACATCAGAGCTCTGATTAAAGTCCCCTCTATAGTGGTCTTAGCGTTCCCCACTTAAATCAGGGGGCCAGATAAAATATCGTAGGGAAGCCAGATTAGGCCCGCGGGCCATAGTTTGGGGACCCCTGGTCTAACCCATTAATAAATACTTTTCAGAATCTACTTATTTAAATGGAATATAATGTTTTAGTACTGCAGGCTGCCTGAAAACACAGTATAGAATCAAATACCAGGAATGGAAAAACTGCCCAGGTAAAACCAAAATGCACAACAAAGGTCCAGTGCTTTATCAACTGTGCTGGCAATTAATAACATCTGCATGTGTGGTATCATCGCTAATACCAGAAGATACTAAAATAATTGTGTTTTAAACCAATGCCACATTGACTTTTCAAAATATAGTCCATCAAAAAACAGCATTATTATTTTTTACTTTATGACTGGACTAGAATTATTTAAAAAAAACAAGAGATCCCAATGTTTTACTCTAACTTAAATACCTTTAGGGGTCACATTTTTTTAGATGGAGTGTTTTGGGGGATTTTAATGTTCTGACACTATGCAGTCAGCTTACATTTGGACCTCATATTTTGGCTGCAAGTTGGGCACCAATGATAATTGTCTTTCGCTGTGCCAATGATTGGAGAGAGCAACAGATTCAATGGAAAAAAAAAAAAAAAAAAACAGTACACTATTCTCTTAAGAAATGGATCATGTTGGGTCATTCCACACATAGCAGAAGTGCTTTGTTATATTTTAGTGTACGCTTTTAAAGCTGAGCTACTAATGGGAGGAATGCAAACATTTGGCTTTGGGAGGGGATACAACCAAGTTTTTCTGTTCATTATATGTACTGATTCAAAAATCAGCTTTTTTGTAGTTCTTGGTATGTGTTCACATCTCAGAGTCTCAGAGGAAGTCAGTGATAGATGAACTGCCTCTGCCATATACTGTGATCATAGGTCTGAATGAGGTAGCTATATAATTTGCTAAATTTGACAGCCACTGCTGGGTCCCACTCTGAATGGTGATGTAACACCATCTAGGGCCACTAACCCAAAATATATTATTAGGAATAGGTCAGGGGCAAACAGCCCCCCACCCAGACTTCCACTAGAGCTTCTCCAAGGAAAAGTACAATTACTTGAGGACAGCAGTTTTTGTAAAAGATGTACTTATCTTGACATCTTTTTATGATAGCAATGTTGCAATGTACAATGAGTGAAAAACTGTATATAAATTGAATAGATTTAAGTATACTTTGAGAAATACTGTGAGAGCTGTGATTGTCACAGCTTGTCACATGGTACAAGGCTGTTGTGAATAGCCTTGTACCATGTGACCTCTGTGATCATTCACAGATTTCACAAGTAGTAAGTAATGATGTCAGGAAGTGACATCTTGTATACTACTATTCATGTGATCCCTGATTGGCCAATCAGTGATCACATAATCGGGACCTCACACAGCGATCGGTGTTCCCAGGAAGCGTGCACAGCCAGTGAATGGGGGGTGTTTATAAATAGCGACCCGCTTCTGCACTGCTCCCGCCTGGCCGTTTATGTACATGGGCCGGACGGGAAGTGGTTAAGGTGCCCTTATTAGTATACCAATGTCCCTTCCATAGCTCTGATCAGCAAGGCACACTCCCCAATGGCTCACTTGTTCCCAAACCTTTATTCGCATCAGTGGACTCTGGCCTGGCCTACAAGGCTTTATGCACTCCCGCTACAGGACCTGCAGAAGACGGTCAAGGGAGACAGGATGCCTACAGCCATTCCTACTGACTTCTGTGCCTCCTCAATTTCCTGCAGTCCTTTAGGATGGTAGCAAACAGCTGTTTGGGGTCCCATGCCCCATCTGACACTAGGCCTCTCCTAACTGCCATTTATATGGACACAGACTACTCCTAAGACATCACTAAGGAGGAACTTTTCTAAAAAGTGGACCTAACATCCAATTACACATTTCTATTTGCCATATTATAATGGAAACAGAGCCATCTAGAGGTAGGAGAGATAACTGCATCTGTCTATATACCCAGTGAAGTGGCTAGCCTCAGGTGATACAAAGGGATTAAACTGCATTCAGTAAGCGACTCACAAAAAAGCTTTGTTTTATTATACTGTAAATCAGTATTAAATATACAGTATTAAATGTAATTGCTAATACTTGTAATGTAAAAAAAGAGTCTTGGATGCAGATGCTGTCTAAACAAAATGAAATCTAGTGTAAGTCATCTATGATTTTGTCTACCAGGGGAGTGTGCTATGTAACCCTCCGCTATGTATCCCAGGCCCCCCCTTGGCCATCTTCGGGCCCCGGGGGCAGCATAGCAGGTGTCACCAGGCAGAGGGGAGGGAGCAGAGCGGACACACATCTGCTCTCCTCCCCTTCTTGTTGCTGACCCAGAAACAATGTGTAAAATGTTATTTCCAGGTCCTCATGTCAGTATCACCAGTCATTATGGCGGCCGGGAAAGAATCTGATGCAGTGCGATCTGTACTGCATTAGATCCAGTGGAGCACAGGGGAAACATCCAAGATCTATTAGACCCTGGATGTCTCATTAAATAGAATCTGTCACCAAAAAATCATCATATAGGGTACTTGCAATGAAAAAAAAGTTAACTAGAAAAAAAAAAAATTTAAATAGTAAAAAAAATAAAGTTATACCCCTGCACATAAGATCTCCCCCCCCAGAAAATGTTTAGCACCCCCATATATACACACACAAATGAACACAAACACATGCGTCGGGGGCGCCTATGCATAAAAACATTGATTATGATACACGTTATATATTTCAATGCACACCAGAGTGAGAGCAATATTTCTAGCACCAGACCTCTTCCAAATGGATGACCTATAGGGGGCTTTTAAAGCGTTGCCTTATAGAAAATATAGGGTACTGAAGTTTGTCACCATTTCACTGACACACATAAATTTAAAGTTTGACATGTTGGGTATCTGTTTACTTGGTACAACCTCATCTTTTGTATTTTCTTTAAAAAAGTTGGTAATGTAATATATTTGTGTGCCCTAAAATCAACTTTAGTGTATTTTTTGGTGAACGTTTGCATTTCCTAGACCTTTTCAGTAATATTGTGCTACATACAAAATTGCAACTACCACTTTTTTAGTCTCTTGGGTGTCTGCTTTCAGAAATTAAATAATGTTTTGGGGGTTCATGCAATCTTGCAGGAGTTCATGCAGGCCTAAAATTATTTTTTAAACATGCGAGCAAAAAAACACAAAATCGACTCTGGCAGCGAAAAGCCTAATCAAGATTTATTGGGAGCTATAAACCAGTTTTTTCATAATTATAGTTTAATTTGAACTGCTCTTCTGAAACAGGTTTTTTAGCCATGTGATTGGCTTAGCTCCAATCAGGTCTGGCCAAACACAGACTCATACTGTAGTCAGCATACATCAGCAGAGTAATCAGATGCCAAAGAACAAGGAAAGATCATGTGACCACACAATAGCGCTGTAGGAATAAGGTACCTATATATAATAATATTAATAATAATAATATATAGTAGCATTATATATATGATTTACATGAATGAATTATGGCAATTAATACTTCTCTGTTTAGTATCACTTTAACACTGCACACAGGCCACACAGTTCAGTGGTAGGATTGTGTTGAAGGGCTTTTTTGTTTTGTCCAAATGGGTTTTGCATTCCTACAAAGTGCATGGAAATGCAAAACCATTGAAGCAGGGCCAAGGCAGGTCAGATGGTCAACTGCAGGTCAAAATGCATTAGTCAATTAATTTTAAATGATCCAGGTAACATTTCAAACTGATGCTATCGACACAAGCCCAAGGTCCATCAACAGAGACCCCCATTAGTAATGCAGCCCACAGTTGACTGCAATGTAGAAGTCAGGTTTTTGTTGCTATTTTATTAACCTCTTTCCCGTCGCCCTATAGCAAATGTAATGCTACAGGGCGGCAGGGGTGCGCAAAATCAAGTATATATATACGTGATTTTGCACTTCCAGATGGGGGCGAGCATGTCCTGCGCGTGCCCTACCCGCGCCGCTATTTGTGGCCTCAGCTGTCAATCACTGTGTCCTGGCCGGTCATTACTCTCCGGCACATCGTGGCACATTACCAACGGAGGGAGAGAACTGTATGTAAACAATACAGTTCTCTCCCCTTTCAGCTCCTGCATACTGCTTTGCATGGCTCTGCATAGCAGAGCCATGCATAGCAGTGTACATACAGTTGAAAGCACTAACACAGCTCACAGTAAAACGGCACAACCCTTTGATCGCCCAATTTTAACCCCTTCCTGCCCAGTGCCATTAGTACAGTGTCAGTGCTTTTTATTAGCACTGCTCACTGTATTGGTGTCACTGGGGATGTCAGTGATGCCAAGTCAGTTCCCCCCAGTGTCAGAATGCCTGCTGCAGTCCCGCTATAAGTCACTATAAGTCACTGATCGCTGCCATTACTAGTAAAAATAAAAAAAAAAAAAATCCCAGTATATATACCACCATTTGTAAATGCTATAACTTTCACGTAAACCAGTTAATTTACAGCAGAATACATTTTGGCCTAAATTTATTATGAAATTTTGATTTTTTTACATTTTATTACTGGACATGTTTAATAGCAAAAAGTCAAAAATAGTGTTTTTTTTCTTTATCTTGCCTTTATTTTTTTATAGCTCAAAAAATAAAAAAATGCACAGGCGATCAAATACCACCAAAAGAAAGCTCAATTCGTGGGAAAAAAAGGACATAAATTTTATTTGGGTGCAGTGTTGCGTGACCACGCAACTGTCAGTTAAACTAACGCAGCGCTGTGCCGCAGAAAAAAATGGCCTGGTCAGGAAGGGGGGTAAATCCTCAGGAGGGTAAGTGGTTAAAGTAAAACTTTCGGAAAACTATTTTTTTTCATTTTGGATAGAGTAAGGGAGGTTTATAACCCTTTCAGTTTTTTCATCTGTGACCCATTGAGGAGATTTTAATAACTGAAAAATGTAAACAAGTTTAAAATAAGTGAATATGACTCAAAAAACCCTGTCATCCCCAACATCTGATGGACAATGGGTCCTTCTTAGGCCTATGCATGGGGTTGTAGGCCTAAGTAGCAGCTTGTGAGAGATCATATAACCCATGACAAGAGTGAGCAGATTAAAGATCATATGACCTTGACCTCAATATGATTTTGCCGTTTCACATGCTGGTGAATTTCTTGGATACATTTTGGTTTAGCAGATTTTTCTATAGCATGGGCTATTTACTTCACAGAAGGATCTAAGGTATGTCTACATCTTACACAAAAGCCATCAACTGTTTTGTTTCCCACACTGTGATTTTTAAAAAATTAAATATTCCAGTAGGTCTTTTTTTTTATCAGGATGAAATTGTTTTAATTGTTTTCTATTAGCTTGCAGATTGTATAGTATATATTTTTTTTGTCTAATTCAATCTCTTATAGAGAATCATTTAAAATTATAAAGGACATTTATTGTAGCAATTGGTTTCTTGTTCCAACCAGGAGTTTGATTGAACAAAGAAAACATTAAAGTAGTTGTAAAGGCTAAAGGTTTTTTTTACCTTCATGCATTCTATGCATAAAATTTAGAGCTAAAAAAATGTGGGATTTTAAAGGTGCAAACGTACAACAGAACACATGTATTAAAAAGATTTTTTACAACTTTTATTAGTCACTATAAAAATATAAAATGATACAATACTGTTGAAACAGTGATGAAAACGTGGCTGTGTTACTGCCAAAAAATATACATCAAAATTAAGTTAATTGTAATTGTATTTTGATGTATATTTTTTCATTAATTGTAGACTACACTGTGGTTGAAATACTTCTTTCCCTGAGGAAGCCCTTGTTGGGCGAAACATGTAGGGAACTTATACTTCTCCTAACCGCAGTAACACAGCCAAGTTTTCATCACTGTTTCAACAGTTTTGTATCAATTTATATTTTTATAGTGCCTAATAAAAGTTGTAAAAATCTTTTTAATACATGTTCTCTGTTGTACTTTTGCACCTTTAAAATCCCACTTTTTTTAGCTCTATTTTTCCAATTTCAGGGATGTGGTGCTATGTGCATAATTGGTCACCCACGCATCCCTTTTCTCTAGTCTATGCATGAAGAACCTTCTGTGTGCAGCTTCCTCCCAGCTCCCCTAAAACTTACCTGAGTCTCATCCCAATCCAGGGATGTGACCAGAGCCTCTCCTGGGTCTATCCCTCCCCTCCCCCTTGTCAGGGGGCGGGACTGAGCCATGTTTTATGTGTGAATGAACATACAGAGCCTGCTCGTGTGCCCCCATAGCAAGCTGCTTGCTATAAAGGAACTAGGCAAGAGGGAGGGACCTGGAGCTTCAGCGGGGACCTTAGAAGAGGAGGATTGGGGCTGCTCTGTGCAAAACCATAGAGCAGGTAAGAGCAGGGCAGGTAAGTATGATGTGTTTGTTATTTTAAAAAAAAAAAAAACAAGCCTTTAATATCACTTTAATAGTCTGCAGCTCCATTACAATAAAATTAAATCATCTTCTTTCACTAAAACAAAAGAAATTCTGATGGAATGCATGGGTTACCCTTGACCA